GCCCGCGCCGCGCCGGTACCTACCTGGCGGGGGTGGGAAGGGCCCGCAGCACCGTCCCGGAAGCGAAACCCCCCGAGCGGGCCGCACCCCGGAAGAAAATTCCACCGCCCGTGAGGCCGCGGCGCGCATCGCTCCCCCGCCCGCCGCCGCGACACGCCCCACCCCCTCGCCACGCCCCGCCCACCCCCCGCCCGCCGAGCCGAGGGGGGAGGATCCGCGTCCCGTGCTCCCGTGACCGGCGCCGTCCCTATATAAAGGGCGCGCAGAGGCAGAGGCGGTCTTTTCGGCCTGTGGCGCTGGTGGGGGGGGGCGCCGGGTGCCGAGTTGCCGGTGAGTGGAGGGGGGTTTCCAGCCCGGTGTGGGCCCGTGCCGCTCCGGGGGACGGTGTGGAGGCGCTGCGGGTAGGGCTTGCTCGTCGATGGGCACTGGCGGGGGAGGATGGAGGTGGATTGGGTCGCCGGCGCCCGGCCTGCGGCCTAGGCCGCTGGGGAGTTTTGAGGGGACTCCGCCTCGTGGCGGCCCCGGGGTGGGGGTGCGGAGGGGCAGGGCAGTTTAGCGGAGACCCCACTAGGGGATCGTGTGGGAAAGGGGGTCCCATAGGGAACGGGAGGCCCGCGCGGGCCCCTGGAGCCTCGCCCTTGAGGCCCGTCATCCCGCGGCGCTGTGAGGAGGGCTGGGTCGTGTCTGCCCTGGGCGTGAGCCCTGCGGGGAGGCTGAGCCTCATGCCTTGAATAAAAGCTGGAGATAGAAGACTCCAGTGTATCTCTGTAGCGCTTTATTTAGGCTTGCTTGAGCAACTTGGAAACTTTGGTATGTACGAAAAGGATGAGAAAACCTTGAGCGCTGTTAATAGTATGCACAAATAGATAAGAAGCCTTAGGCCTTGCTGAGCTTTGTGATTAAAACCAGCCAGAACCAGTGTAGGGCCAGCTAACTGGGAAGAAGAGATGAACAATCTGGGATGACCCGCATGCCTTAAGGGAGGGTTCAGACGACCACCAGAGGGTCTAAAGACCACTGACCCATTTAATCGTGAATGCCCAAAAGGGTGGACGCTGTATAAACAATTTCCGAGGAATAGCATGAACATGTGCGACAATTCCGGGAAATGTAATGAATATGTATTAGAACAATATAAGCTTTGGTTGCTGTAGGTAGCGGTATGCACACTAGGAGGAGCTATCCCCTGCGCATCCAGCACTGCAATAAGAGAATGTCTGCTTTCTAAAACTCCGAAATTGAGTCTTACAGAGTTTCTTTGACTGTCTTTTACAGTAGCAGTTTTGGTGACCCCGATGGGACCCTGCTTCTAGACCGACAGATCCGTGGGATTATGGGACCTCCAGCCAGTACCGAGGGATTCTTGGGGAGAACCTCTAATCCCTGGACCAAAGAGCTTGAAGTAAGACCCCTGGTAAGTTTAAAGGCATTCTGTCTGTTGGTTTTTGGTTGCCTGCCCATAAGATGTAGTGAAAGCTATCCAGGGTTGGGCTGGAAAGGTACCTATTGGATTTGTTCTGATAAGCCTGGGTTCTGGTTTGGCTAGAGGGGTTATAAGTCCCCAACTTGGCTGTCTTGACTTGGTCTCTGAATTGTGGTTTGGTTATCAGAACTTGGCTATTGGAATTATGGATTTGTTTCTGTTTACTTGGATCGTAGAGCTCTCTTGCTATTTATATTTAATATGGGTGGAAGATTGTCTAAGGGAGGCATCCTGGAATAGTCACCTCTGGGGTATATCTTTAAACATTGGAAACAGATTGCTGGACCCCTGGTTGGGGTCACGACGAGGGAAGATTTAAGTACTGTAATCAGTGGTTGCCACTGTAAAGTGGATGATTGGGAAAAGTGGCCTATGAATGGTATGTTAAATTATAACACCCTATTACAATTAATGTTATTCTTGAGGAGAGAAGGAAAGTGGGATGAAGTGTTGTGTGTGGATATGGTCTTTACTTTGAGGAGACATTTGGAATGGCAAAAGGAATGTGGTATATATCTTGTACTAGTGATCCCTGTGTCTTACCTTTGGAGAAAGGTAAAACTTTGAAAAGGTGTTGTTCTGCCTGTAGTGTTTAAAAGTTTCCAAGCAAGAGGAGGATGATATTGATTTAATAGCCCCTGCATGAAGGTTGGGAACCTCAAATACTGTGTATGATGTTCCAGGGGCAGAGAATGGAGAAAGCTGTGAAAATGTCACCCTCAAGGGGATGAGTCAGTCCTGGGGGCTGAGGGGTTTAGCCCAATAGCCAGGTGAATGAAAGGCAAGCAAGGGGAAATTATCCAGGCACCCCTGTGACAAGCTGTGGGAAATGAGGGACTGGTGACTGTGAAAGTTCCATTTTCAATTACTGACCTTAATTGGAAATTAGCTGCTGGAAGTTACAGGGATGATCTGGATAGGGTAGCTAGTGCTTTTGAAATGATGATTAAAACCCAGGATGCTGATTGGAAAGATACTGAAGCAATTATGGAAATTTTGTTTAATATGTAGAACAGCTAAAATACAAGTGGAGGTGCAGGTTGCTTTGGGAACTTTGCCAGGGACTGTTGAGGTCCATTTTCCTTCTGTAGAGCTAAACTGGGATCCAAATATACCAAGATCAAGGCAGCTTCTGAATCAATATCAAAAGTGGATTTTGCTTGGTATTTGAAGTGTGATACCTAAAGCTATTAATTGGTTCAAATTATGTGAAATTAAACAGGATCGGGAAAAATGTCCTACTGATTTTATGAACAAATTGAAAGAAGTTGTTCTTAAATATACAATTATAAACCTTGATTTGGAGGAAGGAAGAAACCAACTAGCTCCTTTATTCAGATGACATAAGGAGAAAGTTGCAGAAGCTACAAGGAAGTGATGCTTGAGACCTAGGCAAATTGCTAGATGTAGCTTGGATTGTGTATGGAAATAAGGAGAGGCTTAAGGAAATGACAAACAGTTGGAGGGTGGTCAAAGAGGAGGATTGTACCCTGGAAGAGGCCTGGGAAGGGGTGGCTTTATGCCATCACATAATCCCAGGCCCCCCGGGAGAAAATCAATGTGCTTACTGTAAAAAGGAAGGATACTGCAAGAATGATTGTCCCCTCTTGAAATGAAATACCTCTCTGACTCCTTTACTTACAATGGGAGAGGATTGACAGGGACTGGAGGAACCTCTCCCAGCAGAACCTCTGGTTAAAGCAAAGCTGGGAGATGAGGAAACAGAATTTTTAGTCAACACCGGGGCTACGTATTCGGTCTTAAATACACTAGAAGGAAATTTAAGTAACAAAAGCATAAATGTCATTGGTGCGACAGGGACTCGTGAGACCTGGCCATTTTTCAAATCCCTGAAATTTAAACTTGGAAAACAATGGGTTACTCACCAGTTTTTATATTTGCCAAATTCTCTGAAAACTTTACTGGGTAGAGATTTACTTGAAAAGGTAGAAGCTGAAATCAGATTCAAGGATGGGGAAGTTGAAATTTTAATCCCAGAATCTAAATGTGTTGAATGTTACAGGATATAAACCCCAAAAGGGACAAGATACCTCGAGGAAATAGAAGATGCAGTGATTCCCATCGTTTGGGCAGGAGGAGTTCCAGGAAGGTCTAAGGGAGGAACCAGCAAGAATTAATCTAAAACCAGAATCGTTATGGGTAAGAATTAAACAATAACCTTTAAAATTAGAAGCAAGAACTGGCTTGATACCAATAGTTCAAAAATTTTTTAAATACAAGTTGCTGATAGAATGTGAGTCAAAATACAATACGCCTATCTTACCAGTAAAGAAAGCTAATGGAAAAGATTATCATTTGATTCAAGATCTTAGAGCGATCAATCAGATAGTATAAGATGGACATCTGGTAGTTGCAAACCCTTATACATAACTAACTGCCCTCACCAGTGAACAAGGCTGGTTCATGGTTTTAGATCTGAAAGATGCCTTTTTCTGCATTTCTTTGGATTCTGAAAGTCAAGAGCTTTTTGCTTTTGAGTGGGAAAATCCCAAAACAGGGTGAAAGACACAATATACTTGGACTGTTCTACCACCAGGCTTCAAGAACAGTCCAACTATTTTTTGGATATCAGCTGGTGAAGGAATTGGAGATTTGGAGGAAAGAAAATGGACAAGGAACTGTATTAAAATATGTAAATGACATCCTAATTGCAAGAGGAACTTAAGAACAATGCTTTTCTTTGACCATAAGCCTCTTGAACTTTTGGGGACTTAGCGGATACAGAGTATCAAAGGAAAAGGTGCAGATTGTCCAGGAAACGGTCACTTATCTGGACTTTGAAATTCTAAAAGGGCAGAGAGGCTGGGAATTGAATGGAAAGAAGCTATTTGCTGCCTCCCTGAGCTGTGTACACCAAGAGAACTGCAAGCATTTCTAAGCATGATGGGATGGTGTCACCTGTGGGTTGTAAATAATGGACTGTTGGTAAAACCTCTATAGGAATTACTAAAAGACTCCCAAAAAGGGACTCTTGAATGGACAAATGACATCAGAGCTGCGTTTAAACAACTGAAACTGATGATAGCCCCTGCCCTGGGATTGCCAGATGTGACAAAATTTTTTAAACTTTCATTTATGAGTGATGATGAGTGGCACTAGAGGTTCTGGCACAGTTTTTAGTGGGGCGATAGAGAGCTGTAGCATATTTTTCCAAACATTTGGACAATGTGAGCCAGGGATGGCCCAGCTGCCTCAAAGCAGTAGCACCTGCAGTATTATTAATTCAGGAGGCTCGAAAACTTACTTTAGGGCAAAAGATCACTATGTACCACATATGGTAGCCACAGTTTTGGAATGAAAAGGGGAGCATTGGTTGTCCACCAGCTGTATGCTGAAATACCAAGTAGTAGTACTGGAACAAGATGACATTGATCTCAAGACTACTTCAGTTGTCAATCCTGCAGTGTTTCTCTCCACTGTTGACCAGAACATGATTGCTTACAAACAGTGGAAGAAACATATCCTAGCTGTCTGGATCTTAAAGATGTTCCATTGGAAAATCCAGACTGGGAGTTATATACTGATGGCAGTAGTTTTCTTTGTGACGGGAAGAGATTGTCGGGATGTGCTGTTATGACCTTGGATGGCATAGTGGAGGCATGAGCCTTATTTCCCAAAACATCAGGCCAAAAGGCAGAACTAAACTTGAGCATTGGAACTGAGTGAAGGGGAAAAGGTTAATATCTGGGCAGACTCTTAAATATGCTTTTGGAATTGTACATGCCATTGAAGCCATCTGGAGAGGGAGGACTACTACTGGCACAAGGAACTGAAATCAAGCATGCTGCACAAATACAAGAACTATCAGAGAGCATCTAAAAACTGACAGTAGTTGCAATAAGGCATTACAAAGCCCATCAAACAGGAAGGACCCACCAGAAATGGGTAAATCAATAAGCTGCCAAAGAGGCTGCAGAAACAGGCATCATGGCATTATTACCGGAAGAAGAAATAACTTTACCTAAAACACCACCTAAATATGATAATAAAGATGCCAAATTAATAAAGGCCTTACAGGCACAGGAACAAACAGATGGGTGCGCTGTTAGGCCCACAGGGCAAGTAGTAATTCCACCCTCAATGAGAGAAATTGCTAGGTGAGAACATAATAAAGTACATTGGGGAACTGAAAATTTAGCAAAATATCTTCAAAAAATAGTTATAAGCCAGGCAATGACAGAAATTATCGAATCTATTACAGAAAAATGTGAAATTTGTTGTAAAAATAACCTAAATACCAGCAATAAGTTAATTCAGGGGGTTACAAAAGGAGGAAGCTCCCCAGGAGATTATTGGCAAATTGATTTTACAGACCTACCTAGAAAGGGGGGATATAGATACATCCTCGTTCTAGTTGACATTTTTACCAGATGGCCAGAGGCTTTTCCCTGTCTCACCAACAGAGCTAGGGAAGTAACTAAAATCTTGTTAAAAGAAATTATCCCAAGGTTTGGTGTTCCTTTAGGAATGTCCTCAGAGGACCATGTTTTGTTGCTGAAGTTATAAAACAATTGAGCAAAAACTTAGTCATAGCATGGGATCTCCATACCCCTTATAGGCCACAATCAAGTGGAAAAGTAGAAAGAATGAACTATACACTTAAATTGCAAATTGGAAAAATGTCAGGAAACATCAGTGACTTGGGTACAAGCATTACCTTCAGCACTGTTAAGAATTAGTATATAACCTCATGGTAAAAACAGCTTGAGCCCTTATGACTTATGTTATGGAAGGCCTTGCCAGGCTCCACATATACCAGGGACAATCCACATTAAAGGGGAAATGGGTTTAAGTAATTACTTAATGTCTTTGGGAAAGGCTTTACAGGAATTGCAAAAGTATGTGACAACAAGCAAGCCCTTGGAACCTGATACACTAGCCCATTCATTTCAAGCTGGAGACCGGGTCTACATCAAGTGGTGGAATTCAGAGCTGCTAACTGAAAAGTGGAAAGGACCATTCCAAGTACACTTGACAATTTACATAGCTGTCACGGTCCAGGGGAAAGGGCTGTGGATTCATTACTCCAGAAGTAAAAGGGCTCCCACTTTGTGGACAGTTGAACAACAGTCTCCCCTTAAGCTGAAATTGAGAAGATTATGACTGAATTTTATGTTTTATTTGTAGCAATTATGGTAGCAATGAGTCAAGTGTGCTGGACATCACCTTGGGATAAAAACCTCCATTTAATCCTAACACAGAATATAACCCAAATACTCTGTAAAAATGATGGATTTGTACCCAAATGCCAAATTCAGGAGAAGGCCAAGGCCTACCCTTGATAGGAGTACCACTGCCAATAAATAGATCATTATTTAACAATCCACAATATGGTATGGGACATCCAGACAATGCATGGTGGCCAAGCCTTTTTGGAAAAAGACAAGAAGAAAAGTTGCAAGTCACCATGATAAAAGATAATCTGAATTCCACTGTATGCTTATATGGGCCAGGTAATGACTCTCTAAGTTCCTATTCCCTTAGATCTGGAGATGATGGCTGTGATAATTACACTGCCAATAAAAATAACTAAACTTTTGTAGGATGTTTCTCAGGATATAGTAGGACCGTATCATATTGGAGGCCCACACTAAGTCATATAAATATGTGAAGTTATATTGGCCTCCCAGTCCCAGTAGGAAGCAGTTGGTATTGGTTATGTGGAATAAATGCTTGGAAAATACTACCTCCCAATTGGCAAGGAGCATGTATATTGGCGGCCGTAGTTCCCAATATGACAATAATTGACAAACTACATAAACAGGGCGGATGGGTGAGGATCTTTCTCAAATGAACCAGGAGGGTTCATAATCCCGTTACAGATTGTCCTTCAGGATTCCATAGTTTTGTCAGATGGTTTCTTCCTTGAATTGGAGAAGGCAATTTTAAATATATCAGCTGCAATAGAAGACATTGAAAGCAGAACCATTGATGCTATGCAGGCACTGCAGATTGAAGTGTCTCCTTTATCCCAGGTAGCGATGCAAAACCGAATGGCTCTTGACTTGCTGTTGGCCTCACAGGGAGGTGTTTGCACAATTATTAATACTAGCTGCTGTACATATGTGGACCAAGGTGGTAGAATTTCTACCAATTTAGCAGAAATTTGGGAGCAGACAGAAATCTTGCATCAAGTTTTGAAGGATGATAGGTCCTGGGGATTTGAAGAGTTATGGCATAAACTTAACCTCATGGCTACCAAATTGGACATGGCTAAAGAATTTGTTATTGTAATAGTTACAATTTATGTGTGCATCTTAGCCTGTATTATGATTAAGTGCTGAAGTTATTGTAGTCAATTGTACATGAAAGTTAAGTTTAAATATTGGGGCTTTGGATTTGTAGGTCTAAAGTCTCAATAAAAGGGGGGAGTTAATGCCTTGAGTAAGGGCTGGAGATGGAAGACTCCAGTGTATCTGTAGTGCTTCATTTAGGCTTCCTTGAGCAACTTTGAAACATTTGGTATGTATGAAAAAGATGAGACAACCTTGAGTGTTGTTAATAGTATGCACAAATAGATAAGAAGCCTTAGGCCTTGCTGAGCTTTGTGATTAAAACCAGCCAGGACCAGTGTAGGGCCAGCTAACTGGGAAGAAGAGATGAACCACCTGAGATGACCTGCACTGCGCATGCCTTAAAGGATTGAGTTCAGTTAGAGGACACCAAGAAAATGACCACCAGAGGGCCTCAAAGAACCCAAAAGACCAACAACCCATTTAATAGTGCGTGCTCTAAAACTCCAAAATTGAGTCTTAGAGAGTTTCTTCAACTGGCTTTTATGGTAACAAGCCTGCGGCCTGGGCTTGGGTCTGATGAGGTGACAGCTTGGGGGTGTCTGGTGAGAAGTGGGGTGGTGTTCCTGTTGCGGGGTCTCACCTGGGAACTCTTTTCCCATGGGAAATGCTCCTGGAAGATGGCAGGATGCCACGTGCCTGCTGGAGAGATAAGCGTTGGGTTTCTCTTTTTTTTTTTTAAACTGCACTAGGCTTTAGAGAGGTAGCTTTGACTGATAAATGGAAAGCGTTGTGCAAAATGTCGTAGTGTTGTGGTGGGATTAAGAGCTGCCTGTTCCTCTGTCAATTAATGCTTGGAAACAGATGCCAGGCTGGGGAGAGCCCTTCTGTTGTGGGGAGAGTGGAGGTTGTTCCCTGCAGAATATAGCTTATTGGTAAATGAGGAGACAGCTTTACCTGTATCATGTGCTCTGGGTAATAGTTAGCTTTCCAAGTGTTACAATTAAAGGCCCCATGTTAACAAACTGATATGATAGTTCACTTGGACTTCCATGTGCCTGCACATGATGAAAACTATGTTGGTAGGGACATCTGAGAGGGTGATGAATACCAACATATCTGAGCTGGGCATGGAGTAGTGTGTAGTGGTGTGTCTGGTGTGGCTGAAACACCATGTGGTCATTTCTGAGCAGTCAAATGAAGTTAATGTCTGCAGGACTGACCCAGTGTTTATACACTAGAATTGAAGCTGTAGAAAATTAAGATGTTCAGTGGTTCTGTCCTGCTTAAAATGATGGGCTAGCAATTATTTTTGTGGCCTGAAAGAGGCCACAAAGTAAATTGTGTCAGGGGAGAGATTTACTCTAAGGCTCAGTACTGTTTTGAACATAACATCTTCATTCTTGTTTTCAGCTCAAGATGTGTCAGCTACTCTCTTCCCTCTTATGGTTATGAAACAGGTAGGTGTTGCTTCTGAAATGCTGAGTTTAAATGGAGAAATAATATGAAGGTACACTTAGAGCAACTAGCCTGAAGTACTCTTGTATCTCAGGAGATTATAGGACCAGTGTTTGTAATCCAGTAATTGCTTGTGGTGTCTCTTCAGGCAGTTCTCACTCTTCTACTGGGAAAATGTATCCGAGTGTTCTGAATGTCACCTGTTTCTTTGTACCGCAAAGCGGATGTGAGGCTCCTGTGGTTTCTGAACCACTAGTCATCTTCTAACTAGACTAAATACAATAGTGCCCTAGATGCCTTTTTCTCCTTTGTTACTGCTGTTTCACCATCCACAGCAATAAAGAGTTGGTTGTTTGGAGAAAAGTGCCTAATGCACGTTTCAGAAAACCTATAACTATCAGGATTGATGTTTGACTAAATCAGAGAGCCTATGATGGTTTCAGTATAAGAGTAGTGGACAGAAGTGATTTCTGAAAACTCTATGCTGAGGCTTTTTTCTATGCTTAGTGTCACTGCCAGAGGTACTCCCCCTAGTTCTACAAGTGGCTGAAACTGTTGTGTCTCTTCCAGATCTACCACTGAATATGGAGACTTGATGCTGCTTCACAAGGTAAAAAGTACTTCTTGAAAATTCAACACAAAGTGGTGCTTGGTGTTTGTCTAGACAGCATCTTTTGTTCTAATAAAATCAGTAGGCAGACTTTATTCCAAGAGCAAAGTTTTCTCTCTGGTGCCACAATGATGACACTTATTTGCTACTCTTGACCAAGAGAATGATGAGCACTTTTACCACCACAAGTTTCCTCTGAGGCACAACAGCTTGGACTTCTCCTTGATGTTTTGACTTCTGAATAGACTTCATAAGCTTTTTTTTCTTCCAGGATTTGAATCATGCAATTTGGAAGACTTGCAGAAGAAATGACACCTGGTGAGAAACATGTAGTCTTTGTAGGGGTTTCTTCCATGGAGCTGCTGAAACTGTAGTGGAAAAGGTGGGATGTGTAAAATGGGAGGGAAGTGCTTTGGGATTAGTTTCCACTAATATGCAGAAACAATTGATACTGACTAGTATTCAAAACCTCTCAAATATTTCTTTGTTTTATTTGGAAAACTTCAATTTTTCAAAGCTGTCACAAGAGGTGATTGCTTGGTACTATTACTCCAAAGCAGATACAATGATGATGGCATAGTTCAGCAGAATATCCTGTGACGAGCAGAGCTTTGTCTTTCGCTCCTATCTGATGTATCTCACTTGTGTGATCTCTTGCTAGGAGGAGTAGCTTGGCCACGAAGGCTGAGGGAATCTGACTTTTTTTTTTCTTCCTTTGTTGCAGGCACTGGGTGATGGAAGCTATAAGCTGTGCAAGGTAAATATTGTATTGCCTGCATCTGTAAAAACTAATTTATATCCCCAATATGTGAAAAGGCTGTGTGTGATGACAGCATAGTTCAGCAGATGACCCATGGTGATCACGCTGTTACTGTCTTTCGCTCCTATCTGATGCAGCCTCCTTTACCTTAGGCTGTTAGACAATTCATGTGGAAAGGTGAGGGTGAAACTACTTTTTTTTTGCTCTGTGAATGTGTTTTGGAAATTTGTCTTGGAAGATCAGTAAATGGGCTAAACATTAAAAATTTAGTAGGACAAATAGAGTAGGCTGTTGTGCTTGTGAAATTAAGCACAAATACAGCAGAGCAAATTTGCTAATTCAGTAACAAAATCTTGGTTGATCTGGTGTTAGTGCTCCAAGTTCTGCAGGTGTTTTGTTGCTTTGCAGGCTGCCCTGGACAAAGGATACCTGTGCCTCTGGTGTGAAAAGCAATTTCACCTGTTGCTGATGTTGGTGAAGACAAGGCCTTCCTAATTGAAGGTAACTGAAAATCATTTTTTAGATGGATGCTACATTTTGCTTTGCTGTGTTTGAGCTTGGGAGTTTGCTTTTGGAGATAAGAGGGTCTGCAAATCCATTTTGTTTCTGGAGAATCTGAAGCAAAGATAATAGTACCCTAAGTGTGCCTTCAGATCCCCTATGCTTCACAATAAAAGCATTAATTAATTGTTTTGCGGTGTTAAAAGAATGTGCCTGTTGAGACTAAATGGTGTATGTGGCAGTACTATGTATGAATTTAGTATCTGAAATGCTTTTCCTGGTTTAGGCCGACTTAGATGTTTATGCAAAGTTCATGTCACTGAACTTTGCAACTTAGAGGTTTGTTCCTTTCTGCAATTCCAGCAGTCTCTGGAGTTGAAGAATTGGCATCTCAAGGGTGTTGGGGAGAGTGCTGGGAGATGGCTTTAGGCCCCCCTTGTGGAAGGGTGTGCAAGTGTTGCAGTCTACTGTAGATGATGTTGAATCAGGTCTCTGATTCCAGTGAGGATAAAACTTGACTAAACACTGATACAGTATTTCACTGGAACTGTTCTTATGCTAAAACTTTCTGCTGGACCCTGTCTAATAGCAACTCTTCCTTTGCAGGCTTCCAAAGTGTTTCTCATTGCAATGTAAGTACTTATTTTAACTTTGCAAGTATTAGCATAAAAAAATATGCCTAGAAGTGGAGTATTTAACTGGATGTAAGCTGGGGGGGAGGTGCAAAGGGCCAGTGTTGGCTGCTGCTTGCATCTCAGCCAAAGCAGGAGGATGCTTAAGGGGAGAACTGCTGGGTAAGACCCAGCCTTGACAGGCTGGTTTGTGCCAAACTCTCACTGTGTGCCTGGGAGCTCATGAAGCTGCTCTGATAGCACTGTTTGTGTATTTGCCCTCTTCCCCATAGCAACCTTAGCCTAAAGTAGATAGCTGGTCAGTGACTGACAACATGAGCTGCCTGTGTGATGAGATGTGACTACCTTGACTTTAATCATGGAGGTCTGCAATTAGCTCTATCTGACTTCAGGCACCTGACCAGATTTCATCCTTGTGTGCTTGCTTGTGTGCTGTCCTGATACTTTGCTTTGTTCCAGGGCCAGTGTGGTGAAGCTGTGAAGTGGTGTGGTTGGTAGTGCTACCAGCAAAAGTAAGTTGCCAGCAAATGCCTATGACTGGTCAGAACTGTGTGATAGCTGATGGGGAAGTTACTAGATCCTGGCCTCTAAATGCAGTGTAGCTGCAGCATTAAGCAGAAGGTTCCTTGAGGATTTTCTTACCTCTGCCAAATAGATCACAGGTTACCAGCAGCCTGCAGGGTTCCCTTACCCAAGCTGCTAGGGACTGAATCTCATACTTTGTGACTAAAGACAGTGATAAGATACAGTGATGATTGTAACAGAAATGGACAGAGGAGTTTCTGGAAGTCTTAATGAGGCTTTAGAGTAACATCAGCATTGGACTGATACTTTCTTATGTGTGTATCCTAGATTTGAGAATGGGAGAACTGCTGGCTACTAGGTGACAGATGCTTCTTACTTGGTAAGCTGCTTACTTCTCAGTTGCCATAAGATTTGTTTACTCCTTAAAAATGTTAACTGCTTTCTGTAACTGAAAAGAAATAGTATGGAACAGTTGAAGTATGTAACAACTACGGACTGCTTAAGTTTCTACTTGATAAGAAAGAATGTGTGGTAACCTGGCAGTGCAAAGCTCGTGCTGACCAAAGCCAGTACAATTATTTGCTATTTTAACTTTTTGCTGGTTAAATTAAGTAGTGGGCTTTTGCAGGGAGTAGCACTGATCTTCAGTAGTTGGAAGTACTGTGGTAAATTATTTGTCGTAATGGCTGGATTAGAGCTTTTATGTGATGTGAATGAAGATATCGTTGGGGGTAAGGTCTGAAATGCTGAGGTCAGGTCCTCATCTAAGGAGGAACAAAAGTAACAAAACATTAAGCTTCTCTAAGCATGTACTGTTTGTGATGATTAATTCTAAGCAATGGGAATCTCTCTGAAAGAGGCTGAGGAGGACTCTTGTGCTGAAACAGTACCCACTTTTGAACTAACTCTTGAAGCACTGCCAAGGGGTAGTGTGTTAATAAAATTTCACTTGTTACAGAGTGAAGCTTGTGGGGAGTTTGTGTGTTACGTCTGAGGTAAGTGTAGAGTAGATGGTGTTTGGCAATTACTGGAATATTGTCTTTGTGCTAAATGCCTAGATAATGGTGTCTAAAATTAGTCCTATAATAGCTCTGCCTTGTCTTCCCTTTATTGTGTTCTGATTCTCCCACTCAGCTACTGTGGGGATAAACATGATGTGCTTGAAGCAAGAACGCACTTCTACGTAGTTCTCAATTTGACTTGAAAAGGAAGGGCTCTTTCTGAGCAGACACCCTGACAGTTCCTGAACTGTAGTCAGTGGTAAACTTTACTATGTAGAGTTCTGTATATATGAACAGAAGATGTGACCTCAGTGACTCTAAAAACTCGGTTTTCATTGCTGGATGTCTTCACACAGTGGAAATAGTGAAGGAGCTGAATCAGTGGAGACCACTTAGCCAGTACACTGTTGATAATGTAGTACAGCAGAATGTACAGCAGCAAACATGACTCATAACTCATATCTGTATCTGGCTATTCTGTGAACCTACACTATAACACTGCATTCTTGAATGGGAAAAAAAAGGCACTAACCCCCAACCCTATATGCTGTGGTTGTCACTGCTTAGTAATTTTTGCTAATCTTGGTTATGTTGGCTGTACACAAATTTAGGATTGAGTTCTAGGTGACTGCTGTACAAACTTTCTTCCTCCCAACAGACTGTTTCTCACTTTCAAGGATAGGTTTTGAAGATGATTTATGAGACTTGTATTTTAGGTATAAAAACCCATTGAATACAACTTCCTATTGGGGAGAGATGGTATCACAAAGCAAGTAGTAGCTTTGTACTTTTCCCTGATTCTTCCAATGTTAGTAATTCTGTATTTCCAATTCAGTTAGGATTTGTAAGCTTTGTATATCCCATTTCGGTGTTGCAAGTTGAAGTTCTTGTCAGCTGCCAGCTGAAATGCAGCTTCTTTTTAGGTAGAACTAGTTTGGTGAATAGAATTTCATAGATAAATAATTAAACTTGCATATAGTGGTGTCTTATTCTGAAAGAATGTATCTTTTTCGCAGGGAAGGAGGACTGTACTGTCTGCAACCTCATTGGGTAAGACCACACAGCAGGTGAATTCTGTTTAAAAACTTCTGGGAGTATTTGTAGCCACTGATGAAATTTGATTCTGCCAAATGAATTGCTGTGATATTACCATTTCCGTTCCACTTTTCTCTGAGGTTACAAAGCTGCTTTGGGGCTTTTAGCAGTTGTGCTACTGCATATGTTAATTGTGGTTTCTTCTTTTAGGTGAGGAGGCAACTTTGAAACTGCTGTATGAAGAACCAAGAAGGTGAGCGTAACTATAGTAATAATGAAATTTATTTGCTGGAACAAATGATGATAACCTTAGCCTGAACTCTCTCTCTGAACAGAGATGAAAATCTAAGGTCTGAGTTGTTCCCAAGCAAGCTTCTTGTGCTGGTTTGGTGTCTTGTAATGATTCTTATGTCTGTCTTAATAGGTGGAAGATTGCAGAATAATGGGTTACACTTGCATGAACAGCATTAAAAAAGCCAAGATTTTTTTTTTACCACACTGGTAATGTTTGCCTGATACTGATTGGAATGAATAAAAATTTGTAAACTCTACCTGTTGTTGTGAACTGCTTTCTGACTTGAACAGCTTGCTGTAAAACAGCTCTAGCCTACTTTTTAAATGCTTGATTTAGAGCAGGGATTAAACTAGTTTAAATGCTAGTCCTGCAAGTGTCTTAACTTAGGGGTCAGATATTGCTAGTGTGCAGACTGCGGTTGAGCTGACCAATACTGAGACCTGGACAAAGCTAAATAATGGAAGTAGTAATTAGTGTTTTGTAGGCGAGCTAAACACTACTACTTGTGTATTTGCTCCTAAAATTACAGGCCAGCAGTAAGCCTGGTATTAATTTTCAGGCACAGATGGTGTGCACAGAATAAGCATACAGCTTGGACACTGTTAACTCTTTTCTACTGGACTCTTAGGCTAATATGGTTACTGGCATTAGTCTGGAGCAAGACAGCATCCAGCTTCCATGAAGAAAAAAAATAGTTGAGTGGAGAGGTGGGAGATTTTGATAATACTATTTAAAAAAAATGTTACTGCTTATGAAGCACTAGAGCCTGCTAAGGTATTACTGCTTCCCAGAATTCATTTATGATAGGTTTCTTCTCTGAAAAATTAATTTAATTTCCCCCATCTTTCTCTTGTCTCAGGAGTAACATCAATGTGGGAAGAGTCAGCTCTGTGAAGAACTCATTCTCCATAATACTTGAGCTATTGCTGTAGCACTTCTCATTAGAAGTAAAACTAGACATCCAAACTTCTGCAGGAATATTTTCAGATTATTAGCGGTCCCTAGAACCCTTCAGTAAGAGGAATAGGTTTGTCATATCTCCTTCCCTCTCCAGTGGGTACAATCTACTTACATTTAAGTTACGTCTTGTAGAAGAGCTGAAACCTTTTTAGCCAGGCTAGTATTTCAACCTAGAGAAAATGAATTAGACATGATCCTGTGTCCCTGTGCAAATTAAGTATCTTCTGCACTAAAGCAAAAGCCATTAATAAGGTCTGTTTTCATTCAGAGCTGATTAGTAGCCTCCTAATATTCCCCCCCACACCACCACATTACTTTTTAAAATACCACACTTCGTTGTGCCTGTTAAAGAGCTTGAAGGGACTGTCATAGCCTGCAGTATAAAAGAAGTCTTCATGGAATGGTTGGCCTCTGTTTCTTAAGATTCTGGCCAAGACTTCAGCTTCCTCAGCATATTTCTCTGGGGAGGCAAATCCACCAAAGGACCTGGGAGAAGTGAAAAGGGAGGGGGTTTTTGTTAGGAGTTCAAGCCCCTGCTGCTTATTTTCACAGAAGGAAACTTCAGGCTTGCAAAGCATTGCAGTGTTTGAGCACTTCTGATGCAGTTTGTAGTTACTAGATAAACTATGGAGCTGTTGGGGAGCATATGGCTATGTATGCTATTTTAAAAGGTAGGATTTAAAAAAAAAAAAAGACAAACTGCTGAAGTTGCCTGCAATTATGAGAGCATTAGCTGACATGGATTGTTGCCTGTGGCTTTAATACATGCAGAAAGGGCAAGTGTACTTGGTCATTTCTCTTTGTTCTTAGTAAGACACCCAAGCATAAAGATTTCCGAATGCTCAGATTTTGCCAGTTAAGGCTCTGAACAGCAGGATCTATCCACAGTTAAAAATCAGCTGTAAGAAAGAGTAGTCCAGAGTCTTAATAGATTAACCCCTTTCAGTAGCTGCCTTCATTTGTGCTGGTGCTGCTTACCGGACAAAGATGGGTGCTGCCTTCCGCTCTTCAATAAACACATCTGAGTCATTGGGCTGTGGTGGAGAGTCCTGATGTTCAAATGGCACAAAGAAAGAGATCTTGAAGTCTGCGCAGCCAGATTTTATCAGGCATGTCACTGGCACAGTCATATCAATTTTCATTTCTAGAGGAGAGGAGAGGGGGGAAGAGTTCTAAGCTGCAAGCAAAGACAGTGCCTGAATGCTGCTGTAAAGGGTCATGTAGACTTATCCCAAAAGCAGAAACCAAGGCAGCCTCAGGGGTATAATGGCCTAATGGAGTTACAGGGGTGTTAGGCCAGGAAATTGAACCTGCTTTGTCCTACAGCTCATTTACTAGCTTCATCTCCCATTTGTGCTTCTTGCGGTTCAAAGCCAGTGCACTGTACCTTTCTCATTCTTCCCTTGGATGTAGTGGAAGAGTTTCCAGAAGCCCTGGCGCATTGCCTCCTTCTGGGTTTCTCCCCTAATGACTGTGCTGACCCACTTTGCCGTCTCGTACTGACGTAGTTCATAATCCTTTGTCTGAAAGGTAGCAAAAGTCATAGTGATCATGAGGTGAATATTAAAGATGACAAATTAATAGCTGCTTTTTCCAAATCTGCATGAAAATACTGTTGCAATGACATAACACTGGGCAACCTCTTTGCTGCCGACTCTAGGCATGCCCCCAGTGTCAAACTGTTTGATGCCTCCCTTGCAAAACCATGCTGTTCTGCCTTAGGCTGAGCTCCTCAGAGCTTATAAATAGGTGTTCCTCTCCCCCTTTGCAATTAAGCATGAACAGTGTCTAAAGTAACACTCCCCAGCTCCTTCAGGCTTGTCAGACTGAGAATCCCAAATCCACCTTAGCTCTGCAGCACCCTGACTGCAGAGAGCTCTCTTCCCCTGGCCTTTAGCGGTTACCATCGTCTCTGCTGAGCTCCACCGAGGGGACTGCAGATCCAGGGACAGAAATGTTTGCTTGAAGGATTTGATCATCTTGCCAGAGCTGAAAGGCAGACAAAGTTCATTGGCTTCTCTCCAATCAGTGCAGTATACATGTGGAAAAAGAAAGCGCTAGGGCTTTTCTGCCTAATGTCAAAGAGCTTTTCCTCAGCCTCTGGTCTCCAACCTTTCAGTAATGCTTGAGAAGTGGCTGGAAAAGTTCAGGCAAAAGACTGGTGCTTTCTAAAAGGCAGTTGGCCCTGAAATTGTGAAAGGCTTGGGTTCTACCACTTCATCCCCAATGGTTCAACAAAAAGGGCTGAAATCCTTTTAGCCCTGAAGGAACCAACAGAGAACCAGGACCAAGAAACTGCCTCTAGGCTGATGTGGGAGTGTTCATCTTTCAGGATATGCTGCCTTCGCTTCTCCATGAAGTGAAGGCGTTTCCTAGCTGTAAAGCAGAAGGTTGAGATTCTGCAAGTGGCAGTTTTGTGGCTTTTAGAGGTCAACCACTTTTCTCCTGGATGAAAAGGTACTGGAGTTAATGGGTGTTGACTGTGCCCATAACTTTATTGGGCCTTTCATAAGAGCTGATGCCTTTCTTAAAGGCCTTTAGCCCCAGAGTCCTGCAAATAGATGAGATTCTCTGTATTTATGAATACGTAGCTACTTTCTTAGGTAGCCTTCACATGGAAGGAAAAAGCTGCAAACATGAAAACACTCAATGTCCACTCACTGTCCCAAAATAAAGCAAGCAAAAATAAACAAAATTGCTACTGAAATGATTGCATCTTGTTAAAAGTCTTGAGATTTTGGGAACCTTCTTTTATGACTTTTGTCTATACCAGGCGGATCGTAGTGCATAACCTACATCCTGAGAAAGTCTCTGCTTTCTAGTACATTACGATGTCCTTTGCACTTAATGTTGCAAAGACAACACATAATTAATTCAGCAATTATCTTGACTCTTAGATCATAGTACATTGTATTCTCAGTGTATAACTTAATTGCATGTTTCTGGGGTAACACAATAAACTTTCAGGTTATTTTTCATTTCTCCACCTCCTCAACTGTTCATAGCTGCCCACACAACAAGAAGCCACTGCCCTCACTGGTGGCTCTACTTTTTTCAGGGGCTTTCAGTATTAAAGGGGTACTGATGCAATTCACAGCATGTCCCACCTCCAGTGGTGAAGTCTTTAAGCTATGCCATCTTTAACATGACAATTGTGAATAGCTATTTTTGTAAAATGAACTGCCTTGTGCTACCTGACTACCTTCTTACCTGTTTCCATTTTCTTACGACATGTAGACTACTGTTGAATGCTATTAATCCCTTTTTGTATCCTGGTTTAGAGGTGGCTACAAGGATATTTGTCTTTGGGATCTATGAGGTTGAAAAGCTTTTATCAGAAAACCACCCAAAAAACCCTTGTGCTGGCACCGATCTCACTTACAGTCCTTAAAAGAAGTAGTGCACAGAGCACTCACGTGTTAAGCTTTTTCTAGCAGCTCTTTCAGTCGTCACCATAGCGCAAGGGAAGATCAGAGAACCACAGAGCAGGAGACTGATGCCAGCGATTAAAAGCAGGTGCTGTCCCCCTCCCTGATACAACATCCTCAGCACTCTAACAGAATGATGTCACCAGAGACTGCTGCATAGTCCCAAGCTGGACAGTTGTACACTAATATGCTTTTTGTTAATAGTATTTACAAATCAACAAAGGATAACAATAAAGAAGGAAGCCAATCATTTTATTAGAAGCAAATGTGAGCAATTATACTGAAACTTCCCACAGTAATTTATTTTATCCATTGCCGTTTCAAAGGCAAAGATGCTGCTGTTTTGCTGTCACTTCACTTTCTATTTCTCCTTGCTACAACTTGATAGAAACCGTTCTGCTCTTCATGTGCTCCCTGGGTATGTTAGAAAACAGAGAAGTAAACGTTCCTCCGTTTCAACACCTGCTGTTGTAGTAGCTGCTGTACAAGCTGGCTTGTCTCTGTACTTGCCAATTACAACCCCTCCCTGACACACCTTTTTTTAACTGCTGGTTAGATCTCTCACAGCTCTGTCTTTTATAACTTTGTGGCCTGTACTGTCGGTGACTGCATGTATGAAATATTTTTGAATTGCATAAAACAGTGCTTGGGGGGGGGACACACAAACTGAGAGGAATCCTCCAAATATTTACAGTTGAATTAATTTTTAAATCTACAGGAAAGCTTAGCTTTGAGATTTCCATCTGTTCATATAAATATTGCTGTAGGATGTCCAGGCTTTTTCTGTGGCTGTTAACACATGGGCCAAAGAGCACAGCATGCGTCTTCGCAGGTTACACTGATGCCATGAGTAAGTGTAGCCAGAACATGCCATTCCACAAGCCGCTAATTATATTAAGAAAGCAGAGAAAGTAGACATACTTACATTTTAAGCTGTCCTTCTAGCTATTGCAGTCTGTCCTTCTGAGGCTGCACGTACTCGTGAGATGCTGCGTGTCAGTGTTTATTTTAGTTTCATCAAACTCCGCCCATGCCTCAGCCCTACTGGAGGGAGATGCCATCATGAAAACCCGAAGGTTGTAGCCTTGTCCTCCTCTGGGTCTCATTGGAGAGCTCCCACGCAAATGCCGAAAGCCCCACCTACTTACTGCCTACGAGGCAACATTGGGTCCAGGGTGTAATCTGGCTCCATAAACAGTTTTGCACCCTTGTGTAACTTCCCTGTGTTTCCATGGCTTTGTGCCTACTTATGTCAGGGTCAGCAGCAGGTTTTGTGCTCTTGGGAGAAAGAATTTCACGTAAATGACGTTCCCCCCAGACTCAGATTACATGAGAGCGATGGTACAGAATGACAGGTTTTCCTTTTTACCCCTGGGGCAAAATGGTAGGTGGAAATCTGGCTGCAAACTAAGCTGAGACAGTCCTCACGAGATTTCTGCTGGCATGTTATGAAAGACAGAGAGTGTTCTATAATGGCTGGCTGTTTTGAGCGGTATTTGAGACTAATCAGCCCCCTTAGCCCTTGGATATCTGCACAAAGGGGTTATACAATGCTATTGTGAAATTCTGTCCTGCTTGTAATACACAGAGTGAAGCTGGACTCTTCATTTAACCAGCTGCAGCTCCAGACATATTTAGGTACCAGCACAATAGGCCAGATTAAACTTCACAGTCTGAGTTCTGAGCACACCTCCGGTGTTTGTCACGGTTTGTGCAAATTCCTTGCAGCCAAATTCAGCTCAGCTCTCTGGGGCATTTGAAATCAATAGCTGGGAATGACTTTCAACAGGAAACACACTTTGCTTGCAGAGAACTTCATCAGGATGCTGTGTGATACACTCCTGTTCCAAAAGGGGGACTCAAAAACCCCAAACCCCTGCCAAATAGCAATTGCAAACTTACCTCTGCAGCCACAAAGCTCTCTAAAGCCACAGAAGTGGGGTGGTGTAAAGAGTGGTTTACTAGTGGAGCCTGAAATGCAGAACCAGTTCTCTGCACGCTTTGTGCTTTTATTTTAGGGAGTAAACTCTCTCTCAATTTTACCTGTGTTCTGCTTGGGTCAAACAGGAAAATCACCAGGGCTTTTCAGAGAAGAAGATGCTGCTACTTGATGGTCTTTGCTCAGGAGATACAGCCATGCAAGGGCATGTGCTTGTGTAAGGTTAGCTGTTACATTACTCTGTCACCCTAACATTCCTGTCAAGTGTGTACTAGTAATGATTTTCTCCAGAGTAGACAAGGCCATGTAAAAAACAGTTTGGCAAATCCCAACAAATTTACCCCAGTCACAAGCACAGAGAAGTATTGCCTTGAAAGGGGGCAGTTAATCTGTAGATAAACACAAGCCCCTTGTGAATTCTCATTTTGTTTCTGAAGCAGAGAGGCCCATAACAAATCCCCAGTCAGTTTGTATGTGTCCAGCTGATGTCCCCGACAAAGAGCTAACTGTTCCTGGTGGAGTAGCCTGAGGCTAGAGAACAATCATCAGTGTTTTTCCGAGATGTTGTTTTCCAACACTTGTTTTTCACATATACATGGGGAGAACATGTCAGCAGTTGGAAGAGGCAGTAGGGCAGGCATGAGGACATGTATTCTGTACATAAGTATATACATACCCAAACTATATATAATTAGGGGGATGGGGAAGGGATTATGATGGAAGCTGACACACAGTCTCACTAGTACTGCCAAACAGGGGAAAATCTGAGTACACTAACTCTGTACCCCTTGCCCTTTACACAGGAAAATAATGTGTAAGAACTGGTTTAGCACCTTGAGGTCCCAGTGAAGTTCAACAGCATATGTATACTGCTTGTTTGCCTCGCTGTCTCTCCTGCATGGGGAAAAGCAAAATTGGGCAGTAATGAAGGCTCATACAGCTTATATAAATACCATATACTATATCTCTAATGCAAAGAGTTGCTGCTGACAGAGGAGCCCTAAATGTACTAATTAAACAGGCAGTATTTAAGTCTCAAAGGTAGCCTATGAGACCTCTGTTTAATGTCATATATATTTGTCTGGGACTTGGCTGGTATTTTCTAGAATAGCTGACAAAGCAATGTTTTTCTGCACTGTTGCCTTAAACTCAAGGAGTAGAGATGAGGGCACAACCACATAAAAGCATGCAATTTGTAGCTTAACTTTACTATTTTCAGCAGGCACTTGTGTGCAGAACACTGTAATGAACTGGTACTTAAGTAATGGGTTTTCAGGCTAGCAGCTTCTCTTGGATAAGTATAAAGACAAGCCTGTGGTGTCATCACTTGTGATTTCCATTTTTCCTCTCTATAGACCTTATCTATAACAAGCTCAGACGAGACCTTAACCAACAGGCTATATAGCAAAAATGCTTACATACGCCTGCTCTGTGGCAACATTACAATAGCTGCTGTCAAATTCATGGAAGTGTGTTGTAAGTTGCCTTTATCCCTAGAGGCAAGCACAGACTACTTACACAAAAAAGATTAATCTTTTCCACTGACCAAATTGTGTCAGGATTGGAGAAGCCTGGGAAAAAATGTTTTGTTACAGTATGGTTAATGATAACTTAGAGTCATGTTCTTGTAACTGATGAGTCTGTAGTGTAATATGAAAAAATTGCATGTGAGGGACAGAGAGGGATGCATGTGTCTCCAGTCTGGCCGCTCACATGTTCTGACAAGTGGTCTCAACCCAAATGCTCCAGGCAGTTTTGCATTTCTGCCTGAACCTGTCAGAGCATCAGTTAGCCTTGCGTTTGATAATGATGTTGATTTAAAAGAACTGAGACTCTTCACATACAAATGGCATTTGCTTTTGCAAACAGACACTTACTTATTAGATGATGCAGAAGCCCTTACTTCACAACAAAGCAGTTGAGCATGTGATGTTACTGTAGCTACTGTAAATAATAGTCCAGGGCAGCAGAAGTGGCTTTATATGTTGTTAGAGGAACTGTGGTTTTCTGCAAATTCATCTCCCAAAAGAAGCCTCTTATGTCCTTGTTCTAAAGAAAGAGAAAGCCTTCTAGCTAATTCCATTTTATATCTTATTCTCACTTCCAGCAAGGAAATGAAGAAGCATAAGTATACTGTCTTCTAAAGAAGCAGTTCAATGCACTATAGCACTGTTCCAGGGAGATTCCATATTATCCTTTGCAAATTGCGGAAATGAAATCTCTGCCATAACTCTAATGAGATGGTATTTAGACCTTATGTTCTAACCTATGCATTTTATGTCAGCACACCAATTTGTTACCATTGGATTGGCCTTCAGCCAAAAATAATTTGCTTTCTGGAAATGCATATGTGGATTTTGTCTGTCTGCTTTTTGCCTGGTTCCAGCCAATTTGTTGGAAATGACACATGAAACTATTGCATCTGCCTGCTACCTTGAACAGCTGACTCAATGACAGCATTACCTAAAATCTTGCTAAATGAGTGACTCCGTGCTCAATTCATCAGAGATTGCATGGAATTGACTGCTCTTGACCAAATAAAAAGCTTCCTACATCCAACACCACTCCAGAGCACTCTTGACTTGGCATTTTCCAAGATTTCTCTGCTGAAGGTCACATTTTGGAATCATTCTAGCTTTGGCGAATTAATCCTAAATCAATCTTTCCTGCCAGCTGCCATGAAAAACCTTCCTAAACCTTCCTGTCTTTTGTCCATAGAGCCCAGAGAGAGACTGGAAACTTTCTCAGCTTTATATACTGCTTTATTCACTTGGCTTCTTTCCAAAATAAGGGTTATTTTTAATATGGATCTGTTTAGGGATCTAGCTGAACCCCACAAGCAATTGTCTCAGTAAACTTCTTTAGCCAGCACTAATGCTTATCTAAATCCACAGAAAACTTGCAGTCCTCTTTGAGTGCTGGAAGGAGAGGAAGTGAATTCATCTTCCCCTACAAATTCATCCGCTCTTGACAGAGTCTTCTCAGAAACAAGAACATGAAACAAGGTCAATTTTTATCTTCAAGATAAGAACATCCCATTCAGGGAAACAGGATTAAGGTCACATGGTAACAGTGTTTGCTAGAAAAAAGCCTTGACACAAATCTATTGTATTGCTATTTTTGCTTTTTTAACTGGTATTTAACAATGACTTAAGCTATAGTCTAAGGTGAGAGAGAATACACCTTTGCAAAAAGCTCTGAAGAGGAAAGAGCCAGGCGTCAATCATCTGAGAACATTACTCAGAGAGAGGGCTCAAAAAAACCACCTTAAGGAGAATGGACATTTACTGATTGTTTCTTATCAATAGGAAAGTCCAGTATTTGAAGAAGTCACCAACAATCCATACCACAAATAATGCTCTCAAGCAATATGGAGAAAGTAAATAGCAACCACAGTGGCAGCCCAAGGCCTTCTGCATCTCACCTGCTAGACAGGCTGCTCCTCTGCCCAGGACCTGTGTTAGGGTCCTGACTCTGCTGAAGGCTTATTTTGGGATGATGGGAACAGCCCCAATAGTCTGAAAAGGACCCAGGTATGTAGAAATTGCCCTAGAGAGGCTGGGGTTTCCCTATGGAGTCTCGGTGACCTAAAAACATGTCCAGAAATGATAGAAACAGGCCCAGTGCATAAAGACTAGTATCTTAGAAAAATGTTAGAGAAAATGGTCGCCTGAAATAATCATATTTTCCACTTTCTCCAAAAAGACAGGGAGAGATAACTGAAAAAATGATGAGCTTCTTGCTAGGAGTGTCTCTGTTGTGATAGTTCTTCAGCAGTACAAGTCGAGGACCACTGGGGTACATATCGGGTAATGCGAAGTAGAATGAGGAATCCATTACAAAGCCCTTGCAATCTAATCATGAATGTATTTATTGGCACACAGGAATTAGTGATGCATGGCTGTAGGAAAGTATTCTCTTTCTGGCCTGTAGATCCAGCTAACCACATAAGCACAAATCAATCAGTTATCCTAGCTGAGGGTTTGTTTCCTAAGCTTCTTCCTGATCTTAGTTGCATGAGTACGGATCATATCAGAACTTCTCCCATCTTCTAACAGTGGTGATATGGTAGTGGGTGTGGGGTTTTAGTGGGCATTTTTGTTACTTAGATTATGCAAGTAAGGCCTCCAGAGATGGATTCTTTTAAGAACCTGGTGT